GCTGCAGCGCAGCAGCATCCACTTCTATGGGACTCTGCCGCTTCAAGGACATTCCCGCAGCAACAACATTCCCCCAGTCCGCCCCTTGCTGCTGGTAGTCCCACTCCCTTGCTGCTGCTGCGCCTGCTGCAGCAGCAGCAAGGAAGTGGGACTACCAGCAGCAAGGGGCGGACTGGGGGAATGTTGTTGCTGCGGGAATGTCCTTGAAGCGGCAGAGTCCCATAGAAGTGGATGCTGCTGCGCTGCAGCGGCTGGTGGACCACTGCTGCAGCAGCAGCAGCAGCGGCAGCGCAGCAGCAGCAGAGGAAGTGGCAGCCACGGGAAACCTGCTGAAAGTGGCCCCTGCGGAGATGCGGCTGGGCAACGAGCTGGCAGCAGCAGCAGCAGCAGCAGCAAAACAAGTGGTGTTTGACTGGGGCCTGAAGCTGCAGCTAAAACCTGCTGCAGCGGGAGACTTTGGCAGCTTAGCAGCAGCAGCAAATAAGTACGAGGTGCAGCAATTCCATTTTCACGCCCCAGCTGAACATACACTCGGAGGCCGCAGCAGCATCGAGCTGCACGTGGTCTGCAAGTGTACAGACACTGCAGCAGCAGCAGCAGCAGCAAACCAAAATCTCGTCCTGGGCATTTTCTTCGAAGCAAAAGAAGGAGCAGCAGACAATCCTTTCCTTCTTTGCTGCGAGCGGGCCCTCGCGGAGCAGCAGCAGCAGCAGGAGCAGCAGGAGGTGCCTGCTGCTGTGCGCGAGGCGCTGCAGCAAGCTGCTGCAGCAGCAGCAGCAGATGACAGCAGCAAAGACACAGTTAATTTGAAAGAATTAATTGATGAAGATAAAATTCTTGTCACTTATGAAGGATCTCTCACAACTCCCCCTTGTACTGAAAATGTCCTTTGGTAAGTTTAGTTTATTTAATTTAACTTAATTAATTTAATTAATTTAATTTAATCAATTTGATTAATTTAATTAATTTGATATTTAATATAATTAATTTAATTAATTGAATTAAATTAAATTAAATTTACTCTAACTTGTTTTCAAATGTAATCATTTCCCCCCAATCCATAATCTCGCGGAACTCTCCTGCTGCTGCTGCTTCTGCTGCTGCTGCTGCTGCTGCTGCTGCTGCTGCTAGGTATCTGCGGCGCGAGGCCATCCCCACGAGTCCGGAGCAGGCGAAGAGATTTTCTCTTTATTTGAAAAGAGGCGAAGGGGCCCAGGCCCGCAGCAACTACAGACTCAGGCAAAACGTGGAGGTCCGTGGCTAGCTAGCTAGCTAGCTAGCTAGCTAGCTAGCTGAGTGGCTGGCTGGCTAGCTGGCTAGCTAGCTGGCTGGGTAGCTAGATGGCGAGCTGCGCAGCCAGGAAGCTACGTGGCTAGCTGGCTAGCTGGCTAGCCACAGAGCCAGTCAGCTAGCCAGCTAGCCAATTAGTTAGCTAGCTAGCTAGCCAATTACTTAGCTAGCTAGCCAAACTAATTAATTAATTTATTTATTTGTTTTGTTTTGCTGCCTGCAGGTCAAGGCAAACGACCAGACCCTCTACGTTTGGATTCCCGAGCTGCAGCAGAAGACAGAATAAATAAATAATTAAAATAAATAAATAAATAATAAATAATAAATAATAATAATAATCAAATTATAAATCAATTATGTGTTATGTTTACTTTCCAAATAATAACCCAAGCAACGCCCCACGCCTCTTCTCTGCAGTGTATGTACACCCCAGCACTTCACCATCGCAGCCTCGGGGGGCCCCCAGGGGCCCCCAGGGGCCCCCAGTACCCAGTGGGGGCCCCCAGGGGCCCCCCAGCCAGTTAGCACCCACAAGGGGGCCCCTAGAGGGGCCCCCATCGCAGCTTTTAAAGGGCCCCTGGGGCCCCCTAGCTAGTACCTCAATGGGGCCTTTTGAGGGCCTCTTATCGCAGATTTTGAAGGGCCCCAGGGGCCCCTTAGTACCCTTTTGGGGGGCCCCCAGAGGGGCTCTCGTCGCACCATGGGGGCCCCCAGAGGGGCCCCCTGGGGACCCTGGGGCCTCCAGGTAAACAACTGGCAGCATTTGGGGCTCCCGGGGGCCCCCAGAGAGGCCCTAGGGGGCCCCCAAATAGGGTACCCAGGGGGCCCCATCTAAGGGACCTCTGGGGCCCCTGGGGGCCCCTAGGAGGGCACTAGGGGCCCCCAAATAGGGTACTCGGAGGGGCCCCCTTGGCCTGTGGTACTTTTGGGTTTTCTTTTCTTGGCAACTTTCCCTCACGAGACTTCAGAGAGGATTAAACAGAACTGGCAACTGCTGCTGCCTCTGCTGCTGCTGCTGCTGCTACAGCGTCTGCTGCTGTTTTCCACCTCTAGAGAGACATATATATATATACATACATATATATATATTTATATAAGTGTGTTTATAAGTATATTTATAAAGGTTACCCAGTGCACTTCACAGCTGTCTATACACCCCAATATCTATCTCCTGTCCATTTCGTCTGCATGCAAAGAAATGTGTTCTTTTAAATCTTTTTCGGGATAAAGTGGACTAATTGATTTAATTTGTTCACGAGTGTTTGACTAGACTATCTAAAATGAAAAAAGTATATTTTGGAGGTCTTTTTCTTCAGAAAGATCTTTGGGTGTATATACACTCCAACTGCTAGACTTCTTCCTTTTTTGTACTTTATTTATTTGTATTTTCTTTTCTTCTTCTAGATCATAAGGGAAGGAAGAAACCAACAAAAAGTTCAAAAGCACAAAAGTGGCGAAAATTCAATTCAGATGGACAAAAGGAGAACTGAAAAAAGACTAAAACGATTAAAAAGAAATAAAATTTAAATTACCCGTTTGGGGTCAATAGTAAGACAAACAAAAGTTTACTTTGAGAGGCGGAAGGCTCTCCCTGTCCTTTCGGGGACAGGAGTTTTTTCTATTAATTAAATTAAATTAATTTGCCTTTAATTCTGCACTTTTGCTGCTATATGGCATCGACGTCGAATCCACGCATTTACTCTTTTAATTGTTCATTATTCGTTTTAATTTTAATTTTTTGTTCTTTGAATTTATTTACTTTCTTCTTTTCCCCGTTGTTCCCGCCACCTCCGCATACACCCGGCGCGCGGCACTCCGATGTAGTTACACTTGGTAATTTTTTGTACATTTGTGCATAAAGTGAGGAAATAAACATGTAATTAAGGCAACATATGTATAATATATTGCAGAAAGAATATAAAATACATACATTTCCGCAGTACTCTGTTTCGGGAAAAATAATGCTGCACATGCACTGTCGATACACCTGCGCGGGCTGAACCGCTTGCGCATGCACCCGACACTTTCCGGGCTTTTCGCGCATTTGAATGCAAACTATTAATTTATTTTGCAATTTATTCCATTGCAACGTTATAATGAACATATTTGTGCGTTTAAGGCGTGTTCGTAAAGGCAACAGATCCTCCCCTGCGGCGCTGCGGCCCACGCTCAGGTGTACGTACACCTCAGCTCCACCCGCAGGCAAGGCCTCTTTCGACGCGTCCATTAGGGAATAAATATATTTCCACGTTCATTTATAATTACAAATGCTACTATGCACACTTTTCGCGAGACATTTTGCACATTTACAAGCACATATAATACATATATATATATATATGCAAGTGTATGTACACCGCGCTGCTTCCGCTGTACGTGCAGCACAGCTGCAGCGGACATAAAGACAAAAACACGAAACCAAACATTCCCGCAAACTTAAAGAAAAACAAATATTAATGCACAGAGACATTTACAAAAAAGAAGTCCACTAAAGGCTATAAAGCAAACAAATCCTCAAACATGGCTTTTGTCTTTTGGACAAAAGCAATCCAAATAATTTAAATTACTCCCTCCGCCGCATGCGAACAACTAACAATAAATTTAATTACTACAAGACAGCTAATTAATATCAAACATTTAAAGCAAACACAATTTATGTATCTCTACGTGGGTGCATGCATGCTGTACATACACCTCACCAGATACACCCGAAATGCGTGCATTTTGCACCTCCATTTACACCCACATTTATCTCCACTTCTATATTTATATTTACTTCTTCACATTATGTTTGTGCATGCAGCGAGTGTGGGGACACGCGTCAAAGGACTAAAGCAAACACTAAACCCTAAACCCTAAAACGTGGTCTTGAACCCTAAAGGACCTAAAAGAATCCATATAATCGAGTCCCCTAGACGCAGCACTAAAAGCGGGGCGCTGCTGGCGGCTAGCCACAGCTAGCTAGCTACAGCTAGCTAGCTGGAAGCCAACCACAGCTAGCTAGCTAGCTGTGCAGCTAGCTACCAGCTCGGCAGCTCGCCGGCCAGCCAGCCAGCCACCGACTAGGCGACCACACAGCTAGCTAGCTAGCTAGCCAGCTTCCCAGCTAGCTTGCCAGCTAGCTAGCCAGCTAGCCACCGGCTAGCTATGCACGCACTGCGAAAAGATTTACATGAAGGACTGCAAATGGCCTCAAAGCTGCAACACTCTCCACTATGTTCAAGTGTATGTACACGGCCACATGCGTCTCCTCCTATTTAATGCAATATGTACTTTTATTTATATCCGCGCCTTCTACTCATATTCAATATATATATATATATATATATATATATATGTATATACAATACACATATTACATATACATACATATATATACGTTTGTAATTTAGATTTCAACATTTACACATATATATTTATTTTTTTTATTTTTGCACTTCATTGGACCCACAAAGACTTCCAAACTTTTTCTAACTTTGCACGGCCTTGGAGGCCGCAGTGTGCAACTGGCGGAAATGGAAATAAATACACATTTTGCGACTTGATTGCATTTTTAATTGCATTAAAAAGCATTTTTAGCTGCATTAAAAGGCACTTTTAACTGCATTAAAGAGCATTTTTAGCTGCATTAAAAGGCACTTTTAATTGCATTAAAAAGCATTTTTAATTGCATCAAAAAGCACTTCTAATTGCATTAAAAAACACTTTTAACTGCATCAAAAAGCATTTTTAACTGCACCAAAAAGCATTTTTAATTGTATTAAAAAGCACTTTTATGCACACGAAAGACACAACATTTACAGACCCTCCACTACACAAACACATTATTTGTTACTGCACAGAAGAGCCAAAAAGGCAAACTCTTGCGCCTTTCTGCGGGCTCTGCATGCATGCATGCATGCATGCATGCATGCATGCATTACTTGCATGCACGCACGCATGCATTACTTGCATGCGTGCGTGCATGCATGCGCGCATGCATGCATATCTGCATTCACAGGAAAGCAAACACGGGTGCAGCTCCGCACACAATGCAGATAAATGAACAGACTTTGCATTTGCCCAATTTAAACATCTACAGAAATCCACTTGTGGCGAAACTGCATGCGCATGCACGCGCATGCATCCGCATGCATGCGCATGCAGCTGTACGTACACCGGGGAGGTGTACGCACAGCAGCCGCCCCGGCTTTCTGGATTTGCACTTAACCCATTTAATGATATATTTCTACTTTTCACGTATCCTTCTGCATGCAAAGGAGACTTTGGGCCATTTAATAATAATATTATTATTTGCACTTTATACGAAAAGCACAAGTACTCATTCGCGCACACATTTGCAAAAGCTACCGCACTGTTTGGTCACTTATCTTTGCAATTAACTTGCCAAACGCTTCGGAAAAGATGCAATTAGTTTCACTTCTTTATAATAATTAATTCCCATTTATTAAAAAATGGCACTTTCATTATTTGCATGCAACTTCCTGTACATATTTGAAGTGAACGTACACCTGCACGCACTGGGGGCGGCGGGCGCGCGTCGCGGGGAGCTGTCTGTACACCTAAAGCATGCATGCATGCAGCCCGGAAATCAACAAACAAACAAATCACATAAACAAATAAATGAATCCATTTACTGTACAACTACTATGCACTTTGCATGCGCTTGTCTACCCTTCAAAATGGACTTCCTTGCACTGCATGCACATCCAATCACGCATGCATGCGCCTCGGGCCTCCACGCACGCATGCATGCATACACACATGGACACACGCATGCATGCATGCATGCATGCACGCACGCATGCGATTTTGCATGCATGCATGCATGCTTGCAAGGTTACATGAGAGTAATGAAGGGAAACGCCATTCAATTCATCACTTTGGGGATTACCACGAATCAATTAGTGCTCGAAAAGAAAGCAGCAAAACCAGCAAAACTCCAAACCCATGCATGCAAGCATGCATGCATGCACTCACGCATGCATGCACGCACGCACGCATGCATGCATGCATGCATGTGTTTTTGGGGCTCTGCATGCCGCTGCGGCCTTCCCTCTGAGGCGACTTCTAGAAAACAAAAGAAGGGGATTTAAAGCCTCTGATGGAGAGGACTTCTTCTGCTCACTTTATTGTCTGTAAACTGCAAAGCGACTCCACAACCGCCGCCGCTGCTGCTGCTGCTGCTGCTGCTGCTGCCGCGCCGCCGCTGCTGCTGCGGCTGCTGCTGCTGCTGCTGCTGCCGTTCACTCCGTGAAGGCTAGGTAGTCAATGTGTAGGTCGCAG